GTCCTTCAACAAAATTCAACAGTCCTTTATGCTAAAAACACTCAATAAACGAGATAATGATGGAACATATATCAAAATAATAAAAGTTATTTACAACAAACCCATAGCCAATATCATACTGAATGGGCAAAAACTGGAAGTATTTCCTTTGAAATCTGGCATTAGGCAAGGATGCCCTCTCTCACCACTCCTATTCAATATAGCATTGGAAGTTCTAGCCAGAGCAATCAGGCAAGAAAAAGAAAGAAAGGGTATTCAGTTAGGAAAGGAGGAAGTCACATTGTCTCTATTTGCAGACAACATGACTGTATATTTAGAAGGCTGCATTATCTCAGTCCAAAATCTCCTTAAACTGATAAGCAACTTCAGCAAAGTCTCAGAATACAAAATTAATGTGCAGAAATCACAAGCATTCCTATATGCCAATAACAGAACAACAGAGAGCCAAATCAAGAGTGAACTCCCATTCACAATCACTACAGAGAGAACAAAATAGGAATACAACTAACAAAGGATGTAAAGGACCTCTTCAAGGAGAGCTACAAACCATTGCTCAAGGAAATAAGAGAGGATGCAAACTGATGGAAAAACATTCCATGCTCATGGTTAGGAAGAATCAATATTGTGAAAATGGCCATACTGCCCAAAGTAATTTATAGATTCAATGCTATCCCCATCAAGTTACCAATGATCTTCTTCACAGAACTGGAAAAAACCACCTTAAACTTCATATGGAACCAAAAGAGAGCCCACATAGCCAAGACAATCCTAAGCAAAAAGAATAAAGCTGGAGGCATCACACTACCTGACTTCAAACATGGTACTGGTACCAAAAGAGATATAGAGCAATGGAATAGAACAGAGGCCTCAGAGGCAACGCCACACATCTACAACCATCTTATCTTTGATAAACCTGACAAAAACAGCAATGGGGAAAGGATCCCCTGTTTAATAAATGGTGTTGGGAAAACTGGCTAGGCACCTTCAGAGAGGAGAAACTGGACCCCTTCGTGACACTATATACTAAAATTAATTCCAGATGGAATAAAGATTTAAACATAAGACGTAACACCATAAAAACCGTAGAAGAAAACCTAGGCAAAACCATACAGGACATAGGCATAGTCAAGGACTATATGACTAAAACACCAAAAGCATTGGCAACAAGAGCCAAAATAGACAAATGGGATCTAATTAAACTCCAGAGCTTCTGTACAACAAAAGAAACAATCAATAGAGTGAACCAGCAATCAACAGAATGGGAAAAAATTTTTGCAATCCACCTATCTGACAAGGGGATAATATCCTTAATCTATGAAGAACTAAAACAGATTTACAAGAATAGAAACAAACCTGTTCAAAAGAGGGCCAAGGAGAAATCACAAGGGGAATCAGAAAATACTTTAAGATGAATTAAAATAAATACACAACACACCAAAACTTAGTATGCAGCTAAAAACAGGCATACAGCTTAGTGAGAAATGTGTAAGGGTAAAATACTCTACTTTTTAAAAGTTCTTAAATTGATAGACCAATATTCCATCTTGAGACACTAAAAGAAGAGCAATAATTGCTAATTCCAGCCTCAAACTCCTGGGCTCAAGCAACCCTTTTGCTTCAGCCTCCTGAGTGGCTGGGACTACAGGTGTACACCACCGTGCCCAACAATTTTTTTTGTTTGTTTTTTTGTAGAAAATGGGGACTTGCTACTGCACAGGGTTTTCTCAAACTCTTGGTCTCAATTCATCATCTTACCTTGGCCTCTCAAAGGGCTGGAGGAGCGACCACACCTGGCCTCACAATATATTTTTAAGTGATTTCCTTATTGGTTTCTCTAAGGCTCACCATACTTAACATAGCTTATCAGAATCTACTTCAAATTTATACTAACTTAAATTCAGTGAGATACAGAAATGTAACTTCTACATAGCTCACTTCCCTCTTTCCTGTTTTGGTGACATCATTGTTACATACGTAAACATCTATGCATGTTATAAAATCAAAAACAAAATAAATTAATATAATTTTACTTTATACAATTATACAGTTACTAAGGAGACTCAGGGATAAAAGCAAAGCAAGAATAGAGTTTGTTATTTTAATCTTCTTTCTTACCATTTTAGGTTTACTTTTCTCCCCTGTGGATTCAAGTTACTATCTGGCATCATTTCACTATTCCACAGCAGCTTTGCTCCTACCCACTTCCTCTGTTTTTATTGTCAAACAAATTACATATTTTTTGCTACAGAATGAATAATATAATTATGCATATATATTTTATGCAAGTTCTTTACATGATTTAAGAAAAGCAGCAGCAATATGCACATATACTGTCTTTTCTAATTACATAATTATCTTTACCAGTGTTTTTCGTTTTATGTGTGTGGATTCAAATTACCATGTATGATTTCTTGCTTTCAGTGTGAATGACTTCCTTTAGTAGTTCTTGCAACATAGGTCTGTTCACAAAAATTATGTTTTTGTTTCTAGGAATATTTTATTTCATCTTCATTTTTGAAAGGTTTGTTGACTATAAAATCTTGTTTGACAGGGCTCTTCCGGCACTTTGAATATCTATTACCATTACTTTCTGTCTTCCACTGATAATTTCTGAAGATTAGTCAGCTGTTAATCTTACTGGGGATTTCCTTATACATAATGAGGAATATAATATGTATACATAATATACATAATTGACTGCTCTACTCTCCCTGCAGTCAATATTTTCCGTCTTGTTTTTCAGCACTTTTCCTATGCTGTTTCTAGGTATGGATCATTTTGTGCTCATCCTACTTGGAGTTCCTTGATCTTGGGTGTATAGACTGATGATTTTTTTCAAATTTGAAGAATTTTTGGTCATTATTTCTTTGGATAGTTTTTCTGCTCTTTTTTCTCCTCTCTTTCTAGCACTACAATTATGCATATGTTGGTGCAATTCTCTGAGGCCTTTACATTTTTCTTCATTCTTTTTCCTCTCTGTGTTTCAGATTGCCTAGTCTTGATCAAGTTATACATAGACATTATGAAGTCTATATTCAAGTTTGCTGATGACTTCTGCCACTTTGAGTCTTGTTGTTAAGCCTGTCTAGTGAATTTTTCATTCCAGTGATTGTGCATTTCAACATCGGAATTTCCAGTTAGTTCATTATTTAAAATAATTTCTATCTCTTTTAATATTTCTCTGATGAGACAAACAGAGACAGTTTGATATAAAACAGTTTGATGTAAACAATCAAAACAGTTTGATGTAAAAACTGTTTTTACAAAAAGGAAATTATCCTGTGCCATAGCAATCTTCCAAGTGTTTACTTTGCTCTAGAATATGACTGTAAAACCAGAGTATCTATAGCATTTAAATTGATCCAAGACACATACATTTAAACATTGCTGACAAACTGTCTTTTTCTCCTTATGACTGGATAAAGAACAGGGTAAACAAAAGTTGAATTTCCATTTATCCATAATGTACCACAATGAACATTCTTCTTCAAAGTGAATTCATAAAGAGGACATCCTAAGCTTTTGATCAATCTTATGGGAATCTAAAATAGCTTTTGATTTCTATACACTCAGAATCATAGAAAGGCCTTGCTAGATGAAGCCACTGGAACCAACTGGGTCAAACCTCCAGTTTTCACAAAGCCCTGAAAGGTAAAATATCATTCCAAGGTCATACAACTTATTAAATTATAATAGAATTACTTTCAATAGGAGTTCAATCACATTTACAAGTTCATTAAATAAAATGAGACTTTTATAAGACAACTGTGACATTAGATAGAAATATAAACCACATTTGTAGGCAAAAAAATGAAGCATTATATACAGCTTGACTTTAAATTGTTAACTGCACTATTTTGGCAATTGTCAAAGATGAGGGAAAACACTTATAAGGCTCCTTCACCACATACTTCATTTAAATTTCTCATTTTATATGTGAAACAATGAAGATTAGATTTCAGGCTCTTTAATTTCAGGGTTCCTCTGATGCATAAAGTATACTTGTTGACATCTTACAAGGTAATTCTAATCTAATATTGTTTGTCTTCCTCGTCCCGACCTAACAACCAACAGCACCTTTAGTGAAAGAGTCCAGTGATACTCAAAGGAACCATGTAATGTTACTGGAGGGACTAGAGAGAGGCCTCAACTTTCTCCAAAATGCTGATGATCGAGGTGCCCCTATGTTATATTTGATGGCAAATATATTAATATTTAAGTACGTTTGCACTCCAAAGTCACTTCCTGCAGGAGTGGAAAGCTCTCAAACTTTCAATAGTCTCCATTTGCATCATTGTTTTAAAAGTAATGATGATGATAAATTTACAATAAGGGAACCATGGGTATACGGTTAAAAAAGGACAGAAAGAAGTAAAAACTGGGACAGTCACTATCACCCAAACTGGATGTCCCATGGTAAGGGTTTCTTTGGCCTACGGCTAATGTGCCCACCTGACTTTCTGGTTCTTCCTCTCTTACCCAAGTTCTACTCATCACTGTCATACTTGTTGATCTCCAATGATCTCTGTTCCACATCCACCATCTGTACACTTTGCTCCTCTCCTTCCTGAGCTTGTTAGCAGTCTCTTCCGCTCAGCTTAAGATGGAGCCCTCAAGGAACGCATGACCTGCACAGTTATTGGCCCTCTTATTTTCCGTGAACTGATTAAATTACATGGGTAACTTCCAACATTTCTACTTCAATTGTTGGTTTGAGATGTGTGTATAACTTCCAGATTGGTTGCTGCTTTAGGTCTAAACCTTAAGAAGTATAATGGCCTTTGTGCTTCTTTTTCTTCTTAAAGATGGAAAAGTTTGAACTAACTTTATAATCAGTGTGCACATTCTACACAGGAAATGTATATAGTACAAGGTGCTCAGCACTGTGCTAGGTGCTATGTAAGACAGAAAGCACATGACGTTCCTGTCAGATCAAAAGACAATATATGATAAAGAACTGAACTGAATATAACCAAGTATCAAAACACAAAATGCTTTGAGTGCAAAGGGTGTTCAGAAAAAGAGAAGAAAAAAAAAAAAAACCAAAAAACTATTGGTAAAGAGCCACCATGAATTTGGTCACAGACTCAGGGGCCTAGAGAGGTGGGAGGGAGGCACTGGATCTAGAAGCTAAAGCACCAGATATGAATAAATGCACAGAAGAGGAGTAAGTTTGAATCAAGAAAGAGAAAGAACAGATATCTTTTACAAGGTTTAGTTTGTAAAAGACCCTATAGAATGGGAACTCTGACTTTGATCTACTGAGAAAGGCAGCCACTGAACTGGATAGAGAATGATACAGAGTTTTTCTGTTAGAAAGAATGGGGCAGTGATCTAGTTCATATTCAGTTATTAAGAATAAATGACAAAAGGGAGTCAGAACAATATTTTAAACACAAAACATACCCAATAAAAAAATGTTGACTACTATGAAATAATTTCAGGAAGTGGTATGGTAGTAGTGGAAATGTTGGAAAAATAAATCTTAATGGAAAAAACAGCAAGAAGTGTTTCAAAAGTATCAGGAATAAAAAGATGACTCCAAGATTTTTTGAGAGGGTAACTCTTATGAGATTAACATTTGGATTTTCCTACAGAAACATACATCTAATGACTTTGAAAACATGTAGTTTACTGTATACTTCTTTCAATTCATAGCGAATTCTTTTGGATTCCTGAATAGCTGATCAACTTGTAAACCATTTCAACATTTCAAATCTATTCCAACATGAACAAAATTTTCAAATTGTTTGAGTAAATTAGCAAATGAATAGCTGTCCTCGATTTAGAATGAGAGACCTGGATTGACATCTTGGTTCACTCTAGGTAACCTTGGGCATGTTACTGAACCACTCTGAGACTGTTTTTTATAAAATGGGACTACAAATTGCTCTAAGGTTTGTTGTGAGGATTCAATAACATCAACACATTAAACACCTAGGCCTTATATTTGAAGATACTCCAAAAATGTCTTTTCCCCTTACTAAGATAGGAGTTACAGTTTCTAGCCAAATCTAATCGTTCATGCTTTTTTAGTATGTAACAGAATGTAAGGAAAGAGTTGGAGAGTGAAATGGGAATGTGAAAACACTTATCTTTCAAAATTAAGAAATAACAATCTAAAAATGACTTCACCATGGGATTCAAGTTGGCGATCTTTCTGATGTACAAGTAGCACATGAGAGACCCTAGTTCCCCCCATTAGCTACCCATGCAAAGATGGGCTCTAATAAGTGAATTCTTCATCTTCCCTTAGAGGGGACCATTTAAGATTCAGCATACACTTCCTATTATCCAACTTATTCTGACATATTCAAGCATGCACATTTCTTATTAGGAAAAGCAAGGATGAGTTAGTATCAGGTCATTTTTTGATCATTAAAAACCATTAACTGAAATACTAACAAGAGTCGGAAAAAAAGCAGAACATTTTAAAAAAGCACTTTATGAAATCTGAAAGCAACATAATTATGAAGTTAAAATGTATTCATTCCTAGATTCAATTAACTAAAGAAATGCATTAGGGACTTGTCATTCACTAGTGGTTCATGTAGTTTTAATATTAGCCTAAATTAAATGTATATAAGAGGATAATACTCTTCAGGGAAGGAAATATAAATCTAACTTCAATTTTTTATTAACACCATTACTAGAATAAAATTCATTAATTTCAGTGCAAATTCAGGAATTTTACATAACCACTGAGACAACTTTAATGTCCTACTATAAAATTTTAGATTAACAATATTTAAAAAAAGACTGAATGCAAACTATCTTAAGACATTAATCAAATTTTTAATGTACCAATTTATTGCATATGTCAGTACAGAAAAATAGAAAGTATACTTTAAAAGAAATTTATTGTAAAAAACAAATGTAAATGTTTGCTTGCCATGGTTAGCACACAATGTACTATGACATTCAAATTTGAGTTATAAAATTTTATCACTACTTCAAATAAAATATGGCAAATAACAAAAATATGATTTACATTATGAAATGGGATTAACTTATTTTATACTGAACATACTTGAATATGTTAAAAACAACTTGACTTTTCCATATACGCTGTACTGACAGAAATTGTTATAAATTATGTTAAACACACACTCACCTGTTACATATGTATATATGGCACTTTTTGTAAAAAAGTGTCTCATACATAGTCCTATTTTTAAACTACATTTTAAGATACAAAATATAAATGGAGGTATATTTGCGCCATTTGGCAAAAATGTGTAGACTAGTAGTAAGATGACTGCATTTATCTTGCCATACAAATGAATATATTATTTCCAATTTGCTAAAACGATGTATATATATATATATATATGGTATTAAGAATAAACAGAAGTACATTTCATTTTCTACCCTATCAGTTTAAAAAATAAATGTCTGTGCTCTGTCATTTCCATCTTTACCTGAGTAATATGAAAATACATAAATTTAAGTGGATAATCCAAAAGGGCTACTTATGACTAATTTTTCCTCTCACAGCTTTTAAAAATATATATAATTATCAAACATAATATGAAAAAGGGAGAGGTGAAGGATCACTGGAAGATTTCAGTATCTCAATCATGACGTAAATTAAAAAGTGACTTCTGTGACATTCTTTACAAGTTTATCTTACCTATCCCTATCCTCAAGGAGAAAAGGGTCTCCTTAATTAATATAAACTACTCTTAAGCTATCTGAGCTTGAAAGATAATTTATAAAACACTAAATATATGGCCTTCATTCTTTTAATTTCCCCAAACCTATTCCCACCAAGCCAAATCTTACAAACATAAGAAATGAATATGTAAGCATCAGATGGTATGAATTCTCAACAGGTATTACAACATAATTACTCCAGTGACATATTACCAAAGCTGTAATCTATGTAATTATCAAGTGTCTACAGGTAATCATAAATTCAGAACACCATTTTTATGAAAATATCAATTTTACAGTCAAAAATATAACTGCAAAAACATAGGGTAGTTGCAATGTCAAGTGTCCCAGTCACTTATTAGAAATGCTTTACATTCAAATGTTTTGCACTATTTCTGTTTCATCAATCTCATCTAATTATTTTCTATATCTAAATTTAAGAACTGTGTCACACTTTCCTTTCTAGTTGTTACTACCCTACTAGTATCCTATTACCTGTCACAAATTATTTCTTCTCTTATTTTGCAGTATGCTTTTTAGGGTCCTTTTTATACTTATTTTTCACCAGTTTTTCTCCCCATAATGGATATGGGATTTTATTCTAAATGAGCTGTATCTTGCCATATTTAAGATCACTCTAGGATCCCCAAATTTACAGTAACTTAAAGTTCATTTGTAAACTCCTATAGCTGCTCTTGTATAAATGAGTCAGAAATTAACATACAAGATGGATACATATACTTCCATTCCCACTAAGCAATGGGTCCAAGGTGAAGGAGTGACTCCTGAAGAAGTCTCATTTTACTAAGACCAATTGCTTTGGCCCCAAAACTGGAAATTATTTTCAAAAATGATGCCATGGGCTTCATGGACCCCTGACACTAAGTTTGTTTTCCACCTCTTACCCATCTAAGGAAACAATCTCGCATACAGATGCTAGTGAAGACAGATGTCGTACAGCCCTAGGCACTGCCTCTGCCCTTAGCTGCAGAAAGAAAGAAAGAAAGAAAGAAAGAAAGAAAGAAAGGCTCCTTAACCCTAAGAAGAGAATTAAGGTAGGGGATAGCAAACAAGTACTCTACAATTTTTGAAGTCCTGGCTTAAAATTTAAAAAGATAGTTTATAAACCTGGAATATCAAAAAGAAAAAGCAGCATAAAAGCAAAGTACGGATGAAAAAATAGCTTTTAGACCTCATCAGCATATTTAGAACTAAAGTCGATAAATTTCTCCATAGTGTAATAGACTGATCACATAGAAACATAAGGTATTTTTTGTAAACTTTAAATAATGATACAAATATAAGGTATGCCATGTAAGCTCGTGTCTAAATATACATTTTGTTGTATTTTCTTTTTAATACATTAATATTTAGAATAGTCATTCTACATAGCAAGAACTGACAAGAAAAGTAGGCTTTGTGAATTTATACATACAAAATACGCCTTCCATGATATGCATTACCAACTTGTTTTAAAAAGCAAGACTTTTTACAATTAATTTATAGAAAAAATTATTCTTAAAAATCATACTTGCTATAATTTATTTTTTCTAAATACTGGCATAAAGTGAATAAGAATGCTATTTGGCAAAAGTATTTCTAGCCCTATCTCCATGGAAAGAATTTTAAATTGAGGTCAAGACCCATTATTTTAAATCGAGTATTGACCCATTATTTCTCTGTTCTAGTTGCTTGCAGACAGCCATTAAATATAGCTAAAATATTCAAAATATTATATGTTAAAGCTGACATATTACACAGAACTCAATTGAATCTATTTTTTGAGCACTGCTTTAAACAACTTGGCACAATTATGACTTATAGCATATATTTTTATTAAGGTAAATCCTGTAAGTTTCAAGGGGCTTTTTTTTCTAAGTAAGATTTTGTTACTTTTCTATATATCTAAATCCTACTTCCCACCTATAGTCATTTAATTGCTTAATGTGGTAACAGGTTCTATGTCAAAAAGCTTCAGAATTCCTTCATTCTCACATTCCTACATGTAAAAACTTTTAAAACAAATAAATAAGACTTCCTAAAACTGTCTTTTGATGTAGGAGTTCTATTTCACAGCAACTGGAACATTGTTGGATTTTGTAACTTTTATTTTCAAGAAGTCCAATAAATGATATCTTGCCTTTGGTGGGTTAGGTATAGCTAGGTACTGGGACTTAAAGTCAAATGTGTGAATTTTTGTAAAGTAGTATGTACAATTCTGCAATGATAAACGACTTCCTAATTTAATTCTTAAGCAGTGATCTTCACTATGACTGCTATTAGTGGTTCCGCTGTAGACTTACAAAATCAACAGAAGCTAAAATTCTCTTTGCCACCAAAGTTACAAATGTTAAAAAGTTCAAATATGCACATCAAAGCTGCAGTAAAATTCTAAATTTCTATTTCTACATGCCATGATCCAGACTGTACCTAACAAAAACACGGTACATTTACATAGGAAAACAGGGTCCCATTTATTTGTAAGAAAAAGCTGGATCTCAGCATTGACCAGAGCAAAATTCAATGGCAACCTGCACATAGGTCTCAATTTCACTTCTTGCCAAAAACAAAATAGAATTTACATAAAAATAGATATAACCCAGATAACCATATACATCGGTATATGACCAGTGCTATTTACATTTAAAATGTTGCATTGCATAATTCAAGGAATAAAATACCATCATGCATTTCATTTAACTTTTAAGGTGAAAAATGCAGTTACAGAACTAAGTTTGCTTATCATGATTGTCCCAATATTTACTTAAGAAATAATACCCAAAGGTTTCTTGTTTACATATCTCCTTCCACATCTAGCTATTAATCTGTGTAAGATTACACCACTTTAGCAACAAGAAACTTTTGAACAATATCTTATATCGACACATTAAACTAAAGATATGAATACAATAACCACATTGAAAGTTTTGATGAAAATGTATGAAATAATCTCAAGAATTATAGTTTTTCAAATGTAAAAAACTATTTGGATCATCATAAAGGAGCACTGAAGTCCTTTCAAAGTTTAATGTCACTCTTCAGACAGGTACAGATATAACACTTCTAAAAGGAACATTCTTAACCATTCTGCACAAATTAAAATACAATGCAATAATCAAAAAGGGAAACATCATATAATTGTTACATTAGATGAAGTTTTTGCCATTTCTTCAGGAGAATGGCTCTTTACTACTTCTTTGATGAACTGTTCAAGTGCAGTGAAATAGCCTTGGCACTGCCATGTATCATTGTGAGTCCCATCTGGAAAAATGGCTAATCTCTTAGTCCGAGATGGGGAGAGTTCATAAAGTTGTTTCATCATGACTGGTGGAATTAATTGATCTGAGAGTCCAGAGATGAAAAGAGAAGGCATTCTGCACTGAGAGATTTTTCTGTAGGACAAAAATTTATTTTTGTAGCACCATAAAGGAAGGTAACGCATTGGGAAGAATGAAAATAAAGTGCTGGCCATATGTGGTATGCTTAAAAATGTGTTCTCCACCATAATGGCTGAAATCCTATGTGAATTTTCAGAAGCCAAATGAATAGCTACTGCTCCACCCAAGGAACGGCCAAAAAGAAAAATTTTTGTTTTATCAAGGTCAGGTCTAGTCATCACATAGTCTAACACAGCTTCAGAATCTAAGTAGAGTCCTTCTTCACTTGCTTCTCCTTCACTTTTTCCATATCCTCGATAATCAACCAGCAAAAGGTTAACTTTGAGGTTAACCAACATAAGGAGTGCATTTGGCAACCTGTGACCTATGTTGCCTGCATTCCCATGAAAATAAATTATAGTTGGGGAATAGGGTGAATTGTCTCCAGTGTATCGTATCAAAATAAGATTTAGACGTATTCCATCTTTGGTTCTGATGAAAATGTTTTCATGTGGAATGCCAGTGGGCATGGGAACATAAAGACGAGAAGAGGATGGCTGTTCTGGAAAATAAAGCAATACATCCTGGAATTTATATAGAATACCTGCTATTGATATGAATATTAACAAAAGTAAGATAATGCCTCCATACAGATGAAAAGTCACTATTAAAGGTAAAAGGGAAATACGGCAGAGAGCCCAAGACCATGAAGCCAAGGCTACTAGCCATCTTTCAATAAAGTTCCACAGCATCCAGGACTTTTCCATTGTAGTTTTCTGTATGTATCCTAGAGAGAGAGAGAGAATATCAGTAATTCAACATGTATCTATTATTTGTAAAAAAAATAAATCCATAATATAATAAACTATGGTACTAGGCCACATGTAATTGTTAAAATATGGTAATAGGTATAACCCATCCACAAAACTAGTTGCTATAATTTCCCTTGTTCTTTCTGTTCTCAACAGTTTCCTTTCTACCATATCCCTCCACTGCCATATTTATGAAACACTAACATTCATCAAATCACATTTATTTAAAAAAAGTGCTCATTTACTGTCAGCTATCTTCATTTATATGTTTCTCACTGATTTGACCAAAAAAAGTTGATGCTATATTGTCAATTTTTTTTTTCTTAAATGAGAAAACAGAAGCTCAGGAGCATAAGTAGATAGGCCATCATCTGGCTCTCGAGGTAGAAGAGCTGGGAGGCAAACAAGCACGATTCCAGAGCTCATGGTATATCTACTGTTAAGTTACGTATGTCCAGGGCAAACTGTACTGAAGAAGCAGTTCAGAAATTCTAACTTAGCAAGACCGATCTAACACACTTTGGCGATCTTTTTCATGTACTGTAGCAAAAGCTAAAGAAACTAGGGTAAGGAGCTGGACAAAACAAAACAAAACAAAATGAACTAGGGTAAGAAAGAATAAAAGTATCTCCCTCTCTACCTGGAAGTTTTAATACTAAACTTAAATAATTTACTTAAATTAACCACTAAATTCTAATATTTGCATTATTTTTAAGAAAACGATTAATGATTTGTCTTTCATATCTAATTAAAAATAAATATCAGATTGCTGGTGTCATGAGATAGGAAGTTCCACATCATGAGATCAACAGATTGCTAAAATGTATTGATAAGGCAATAAATACTTGAGAGTGAAGTGTGAAACAAATACATAGAAATTCTCCAAGAACCAGAAAACTGACAAAGGAACAGAAAACCAAACATTGTATGTTCTCACTCATAGGCAGGTATTGAACAATGAGAACACATGGGCACAGGCAGAGGAACATCACACACAGGGGTCTGTTGGGGGGTGGGGATCTAGGTGAGGGAAAGTGTGGGGTGGGGAGGTTGGGGAGGGATAACATTGGGAGAAATGCCTGATGTAGGAATGGGGGATGGAGGTAGCAAACCACTGTGGCATGTGTATACCTATGCAACAATCCTGCAAGATGTGCACATGTACCACAGCAAGTAAAGAAAAACTATTAAGTTTTTGTTATCAAAAGGTTTATACATGTTGTCTTAAAAATGCAAAAGAACTGAGATATGTTACAAATTTTCTTATGTACTATTCGTCTACTTAGGCTTACTTGCTGAATTTTTAAAAATATATTTCCTTTTTTCCCACTAACCAAACTGCTATAACGAAGTTATAGATTGATTATAAAAACAAGGTGGACGATTTAACACATTTGATTTTTTACTATTATTTCACTAAACACGGACTTTTACATTTGAATTCTTATTCAAATGAACCTTTTTAAACATAAACCAACATTTTTCTCTGATTTTCCAGAAATCAACACTGCCACCCAGTGGTAGCAAATTTTATTATTGTATCACATTCTCCCTGAATAACTGTATTTATTACCTATTTCCAGTCTGAATTTCCTTTTCAGTAGAATAAGAGTTTTTAAAATGCTTACATATAAGGCTGGTCAGTAGTATGAAGATTAATAATGAGAGCATTCATAAATGTTACAGGCATGTTAACTTTATTTGGTTTTGTGACTAGTATTTCTGGCTCTACTACTTATCTTAACTGTGTTCTACCCAAATTAGTTCTTATTTAAAAAATTATTACAAAGCCAGATAAAATAGCTCCAAATACATGAATAAAGCATATTTTACAATTTGAATTTTATACTTACATTTGTATAAATTTACACAGTTAAATGTTCAACTAATGAACTTTTGAAAAGTTATTTTTGTTTTAGTAGCCTCCAACATCTAATTTTAGCAAACAATACTGAATTTAAATCTATAAAACTAGGAAGTATATTTCTCTTTTTCACTCTTGCATATCTAATGTCTAGTACAGCACTTTATATATACTTATGACTAAAACATTTAAAAATAATTACATATACAAATTAAATTTATTAAAAAAGTAAAAGTATTCTGAGCAGTGGGCACATATGCTTAAAATGACATCAGAAAAATGGGCATATATGTTTGGGTCTCTTACTGGCTAGGAATAACAAAAGATCAATTTACAGTTTTCCACAAAACATTTCTGAAAAGTCAAATTAACTGTTTTGTGATAATCATAATCTTACAGTGAGTTGTTACACTATGGAAGTCGAAATAAAAGTCAATTCATCTTGAGTAATATCAAATGGAAGTCATTTTTAAGAATAGGTTAATAAAAAATTGCTCTGGGGTGCTGAGGTGCATGGATATGGGTTTTTTTAAATATATTCTTATATTGGTGGTTTAGAATAAGAACTCCACTCACAGATTGCCTTATTTTTATCTAACCCCACTTAGCAATAATCTCTGTTCCCTGGTCTGTATATGTACTTCCACTCAAAGATGTTCTTAAAGAAACCAGGACAAATAAACAATATCAACAAGGATTTTTAATTTACAGAATTTGCTGAAAGTATCAGCAAAGCACAATTACCATGCACCATCTGGTGAGATGTAAAAGCAACTTCATACCCAGGTGTTATGATAGTCAACAAAAACAAGCACTGCCTCTAATAAAGTCGCTTGCACAGATCCTACAGCCAGCATTATGTTTTCTATTTATTTTGTCAGTTAGTGTAATTAAAGGGTTAACAAAACCTTTCTTCCTCTTCAGATAAAAAATGACCTCTCCTCAACCTTCCTGCACTGTTTCCCTGGAAACATAACAAAGGTGGGATATCAGCTGTGTTTCTAAGCAACACTGTAGTAAAAATGGCTCCTACTGATGAGCAACATCTGGATTGAGGGGAGAGTGAGCAGGGCTGAACATGCCCAATGGTAAGTATAAACAGGGGCTTTTCTGAATCGAATATGGCTTGTAATTGGCTTGTCATTTGCTTAGTCCTGGATGCTATACTTAAATGCTGTTAGAAGACGACACTGCTTCCTGCAGAGCATTAAGGAGCTAAGCCAGGGTGGCATTCACTCCCATCCTTGTGTCATTTTCCACTAAACCTGAGCTATCATCTAGGAACAACATACCTAACACTGACATGTTGGGTTTTCCTTCCCATGATTTTCAAAAAACCAGAGAGGCTGATGCACAGCAGGGTCCACTATGGTCTACTAGGCCTTGTGAGCATGAATGTTCAGTTGACCCCAAGACCACTGCTACTAGTCATGAAGAATGAGGGAGGCAGGCAATCAAGTATGTCCTATGTGGTAAAACATAAAATGTGTCTTCAGAAGAGATGTATTGTTTGTCAGGTTATTCTGCATGTGAAATCCATTTGCTGATAACATTTTAGCATGATAAAAATCAGGAAAAAGGATGCATTTAACACACTCAAAGCTTATACCAATTAGAAGGGTTGCTGAGTGGGAGAGCACATAAGACCTGTTCTATGGAGGATATAGAAATGTAGATAATCAATTACAATTACTTCTCATCTTCCATTCTTCTTTTACATCATTACTGTATGTATTTTTAACCTTGTGCCTACATCTAAAAATGAATACTTGACAGTCCCACTTCTTAATTGTTTGCCATGTTAACAGATCTGCTACTACATGTCAACCATCTCTAAAACCTACCTATGAATTTAACCTCCACCAGTAACTCCTTAACCATTTACTATCTGAGAATTTGATGACTGAATTCTCATAATAATCTCTCATAAAATGTAAACTTCACTTTAAAATATATCTAGTGGATTTTTCTCAATCCACACTGCAATACCAGACCCCCAAAGTGTCATCTGTGGTTAACTTGTCCTCTATACTCAAATTGCTCTTTCTCTCTGCCCTATACCCTGAGAAGCAGGCATTTCTCCACCGTCTTATCCACTGTCTTTTAGGTTATTACATTCTTTCCCTCAGTGATTTCATTCCTTCTCATGTCTCCAATTATCACACCTGTGTATGAATTATTCCCAATCTGTAAGTCTACTCTTTATCTACAATCTCAATTTACCTGTTCCTCACGTGCCTGATGCTTCACTGATATTTCTAATTTATCTAAAATAAACACATCCTGCTTTCTTCCCAACACTTTGCAGACTTCATGCTAATTATGCACAAAAAAGCTGGATGTGTAAAGAAATACATTTTTTAAAAACACAGGATATGTAGACTAAGATTTCAGTATTACAGTTCATTATAACCCTTACTGGTCTTGCATTTGAACGAAAAAAAAAATCAACCTTAGAAATAACTTTCGTGCTTTTTAAATGAAATGGTTTGAGGTGTCACACTGATATCAGTGAGCGTGTCTCCAAAAATAATCTACTGAACGCATGACTAATCTTTATTGTAATGTACTGTGTAGATAAATTATATGATTGTTTTCCTTTTAAAAGAATAGTTTTGAAGTACTAGTGACATCCTGCTAAGCTACATAAGTAGTTTGATTATCTGATGCAATTTAAGATACGGTACTCATCTTGAGGACTTATGGTCCTAATTGGCTTGTTGTAGTCCCTTCAAGTGCTCCCTACTTACTGTCTCTATATTTAAGTCCATTATGGGTATACAACAAACAATTTGAGACTAAAAATAAGAGTAATCCAGAACTGTAAAGCTCTCACACCACCTTGCCAGCTAGCAGTGTTTGCCGAATGGCAAGTCAGGAAATGGAATGAGTGATGGCCATGCTTATCTGGTCTCTATTAATCCTCTCCTGTGCTCTCATATAGGTACCTGGAAGATCACAACTAGTTCAATTTTTAAGAAAAAATATTTAAATTAAACAACTATTTTATAAACTGATGCTTTGAAAAAAGGGAGTGATGAGTATTGAAGTCATGTCCACTACGAATGGTATGAGTCCTCAGAATATCACTGCAGGCTCCCAGGGGAGCTG